ACATGTACATGTAGTCAAGATAGATTAGGAAATATCTCTTAACACATTAAGTCAATTAGAATTTTACAGTAAGTCTACATATTTCATTATATGAATTACTAGTACTAACACATTTTTCAGACTGACTTGAAAAATGAACACTTAAAACTGAAACATGTGAAATGAGAAAGAATTGTTAAAAAGTAAAATGAAATCATGTTTACGGGCCTGCTTTTTTAAAAGCTTACACTGTAATCTAGGGTTTTTTTGTTGTAGCTAATTCGTACTTGAAAAGAGACTATTGTTGAGTACATACATGCATTGGATTCAATGTGACACAATTGCTGGTGTTAAGTACATGTAAGTCTGAAAGGATTCAATACCTCACTAAAATTGGAAGACATCTTGTTATTACAAAGCTTTAGCTACTGCTAACTGTTATGTGAGAGCTCTGCTAGGAATCACGGTACGCAATGCACAACATGAATAAACATATTAAGCATGACCCCCTAGGGTGTATATAAAATCATATTGAAATCGGGGGATTTGGGACTGTTAGGGTTAAGCATGATTACTGATGCACTTTGCTACAAAGCCATAACATGTCTGATGATTTGATTCTGCACCAGTCTGTAGTAATACGTGTAAGCTGAACAAGCCTAGAGGAAATGATACAGACGAGGTTGCAATCCAGGCTATTCAAGACCAATCTGAACATGTTCTAAGTACCAAACTTTGAAATTTTGATTTTTTTAAATGAAAAAAAAAACCATGGAATGATAGAGACGAAAGGGGTGGAGATCTCAATCTGTTTGAAAGCAACCCTCCTTGATGACCCACTTCAATTGTTCATGTTTGTCACATCATATTACATCCCCCTCCCCCCAAAATAATAATAATGCTAAAAACGTCTGAGCTTGACTATCCTAACTCATCAAGCTGGCGATCATGGTGGTGATTAAAATGTAACTTTTTTCACACACAGACAACAAATACCTTGACCCTCAGAGGGAGGGGAATCACCTCGTTACTGTCACAA